TATATATATTAACGCAAGAAAGTTCTTTACGTCAACGATGTAAATTAAATTTAAACCTATTTTTCCAGAAAGTAGAGAAACTCTGTACACATCTGCAATGTAAGTAAACTTTGAATTTGATGTCCACAGTGTAATTAGTAGCCTCTATACTATATTATATTATGTTATAGTCTGTGATTATGTGGAATGCAAGTAAACTCTGTGCATCAACAAGGTAATTTAACCGTAGGCCTATATAATGTCTAGTAAGGAAGGAAATTTTGTACGCATCTGCGATGTAAGTGAACCCTGGACATCTACAGTGTAACTGGACAGCTCTATAATTGGTCGCTTTTATTTTTTAAGACAAGTAGCCTGCCCCAGATTCAGGGGGTTTCCAGAAATCTTGACCTACACCAAGAGTGGACATTGCCCCACCTATAATAGAAATTTAGTTTCATTGGTGTGTATATTTGTTTGGTTATAGAGAAAACTCTCTTTGTCTTTTAAAGAGACTGAACAAGGGGCAAAAACTTTATCGTCGAAACAGGATTTTTCGGGATAGCCCCCTTGAGCTTAAAAGCGACCAATTATAATTATTTTTAAAATGCCAGTAAACTCTGTACATCAATAATGTAAGTCAGGTTTATATATCTAGAATGTAAGGGAACTATACATGCAAATGCAGTGTAAGTACGCTCATAAATTAGGTGCAATTGCAAAAAAAAAATCTCTACCTTAAAACTATTTTGCCTTAGCTTAAGACATTTGAACAGCCTGGCGGCGCTATCTGGTTTGGGCGAGCATGCATTTATTTTATTCTCAGTGAAGGATACAAAACGGACAGGTCCTTCGGCCTGAAAGGAAAAAATGAAAGGTATGTTTGCTCTAAGAGCTCGTTTAAAAAATGAAACAAAAAATTGCAAATTCTAAAGAGAGTTACAATAAAATTATCCCAATCCTGTAAAATAAAAACACCACAATGACTACCAAAATGAAAGTTCTGAAAGGCTGTGTATGGTCAGCCCTTCTATGAAGCTGTAAATGCTGGTGGTGAAAATAAAATAGAATAGATTTTTTTTAATGGAAAGAAACTAAATGAAACAATACTTAGAGAAGTCCGCATTGGCCGCTCGCTGATTTTTAAAAAAGCACCAGGAAAAGATAAATGTAGTTTTTTTTATACACTTGAATAGATACAAGGCCCTCGAACATTTTGCTCCCAATAGCAGAACTGAAGTCAAGCAAAGGCAGGGGTAGCCCCAGAGTAACTTATTTACTGACAAGAAAACATCAGGGCAATGTAGCTTTTTGTTTAGGGCATCCAAGCAAAGGAATGAACGGAGAACCCCCCAAAATCTCCCGTGTCTGTGGCAGATCTGGCCCTTCAGGAGGATGATAAGTTTGTCGTCTCCTTGTAATGAGACGTTGTACAGCCGACTGTGCGGTCCATGGTGCAAGCTGTATCTTCTTGTCACCTTAATAGTCCGGGACTGAACGGCCCATGCAGGAAGCTGTATCTTTTTGTCATCTCAATATTCCGGGACTGTACGGTCCATGCAGGAAGCTGTATCTTTTTGTCACCTGAATAGTCCGGGACTGTACGGTCCGTGGTGCAAGCTGTATCTTCTTGTCTCCTGAATATTCCGGGGCTGTATGGTTCATGCTGCAAGCTGTATCTTCTTGACTCCTGAATAGTCCGGCCAGTGAGTGCGCAGTCTCTGACATGCTGACTTTGATTGATGTTAGCGTACACAACATTTCTCAGTTCTTTCAAACGAAATTTCCCTTCCATCTCCAGCTGATGAGAATTGGTCCTCGATTTATGTTTGTAAGTGGAATTTTAGTAGCTGGAGTCTGTGCCATTTTGTTTGGGTAAGTACTTACTTTTTACTTACTTTTACCGACTTTTTCATTTTGTGTGGTTTTTGCTTTTTGTTTGTTTGTTGTTGTTTTTTATTTAACTTTATCCCGGGCCTCTGCTACCTTACGGCGTCACCTTCCTTTGGTGGTGTTTCCCCGATGGTCATCTGGTCATTACTGATGGTGTTGATCCTTAATGTCTAGGTCCTGCCAGGGTGTTCCTTAAATTAACATTTCTACTACCAACGTGAGTACTGAAAGCCTGCACGCACCATTAGCTCAGTTAGTATCATTCCACCATCAGATCGGTTAGTATCATTCCACCATTAGCCCAGTCAGTATCATTCCATCATTAGCTCAGTTGGTTCATTCCACCATTTGCCCAGGTAGTATCATTCTACCATTAGCTCTGTTAGTATTATTCAGGGAACGGATGGTCCTGGTTCGAATTCCCAAATTGACGTTCTGAACGTTGATTGTTCGGTGAGGTTTAAAGCTCTTCACCCATCAGGCTCTGTCCTTACGGAACTGGGCGTTATTTTCGGAGTCCCCCACCCCAAAAAAAAAAAAAAAAAAATTTTAAATACAAATTTTATAAAAAATAAAAAATTGCCAGCCTTATAGCGCCGACAAGGGCGTTAAAGCTATACAATGATCCATGACCAATACGTTATTACTGCACTGGAACGTGTTTCTGCACCAATGTTCAGGTAAGTAGCCTACGGTTTTAAAAGTAAATTTTCCTAACAATGTAGAGTTTCAGCCTATTCATTTAAGCTGTCGTATTATTTTGTCTGTGCTATTGAGATTGGGTAAGTGCGGTTCTTGTGTATAAACATGTATGAGCAAACTATAATTAATCAGATAACTAATTAATTTAATTAAGGCTTATGCTACCTCATTACGTTACCGTGCAACTTCTGAAGACGAGGGCAATCACAAATGATGACCATTGCCTTGTGGCTGGGCGAAGTTATTTATTTTGCTACACTGTTGTGTGGTATTGTTTGCATGACAATCCTATCTTCCCCTCCTCCCCTGAGCAAAAAAACATCAACAACAACAACAAAACAACAACAACAACAACAACAACAACAACAACAACAACAACAAAAACAACAACAACAACAACAACAACAACAACAACAAAGCAACCGAAAAACGAACATACAAAAACGAAGAAGTAATCCCTCAACACCCCC